ACTAACCGCGCTCTCGCCCTCTTCTCCCCCGGGGCGCCCACGGCTCCGCCGGCGTCTCTCCTGCCCTCTCCTTGGCCCTCCAGTGCGGCGGGCGCATGGTGACCCTCAACGTTGATTTGAGCCTTAAAATGCTTTTCTGACAGCATGTAGAAGGCGGAATAAATTGTTACTACATGGAAACGCACGACAGCATACGACCGTCATTGGACAAGGTAATTTAGCTGAAAATGGAATTGCCTTACTAACCCATCCAGCTTATTCTCCTGATCCTGCTCCCAATGACCTTTACTTTACCTCAAAAACGTCATGTAAATACGCCGATTTGACTCAACCAAATGATTGAATATTCGAAGGCAATTTTAACAAACCAGGAAGAAGGGAAATTTCATATGTATTTAATATCTGGAAAGAGTGTGTATAAATAATGAAGATACTTACTTTGTGAGAGAGAACTATCAAATAAAATGTTATTATCCTTTGTATTTGTTGATATTTGGTATTATATTTAGTTATTGATCGCACTATAAATATAAGAAATTTTAACTATATTTTAGACGCGTATGATTCCTTTGAAAATTAAACATCTTTCTACTTTAGATGGTAAGCTAAGAAATCACATTATGGGTATGTATGTTGACAAATATCCAATATTTCTTTGTTTGCTATTTATTACACTATTCGATATAGATTCATATATTAGATTATATGATTCTGTTTTATTTTATCAAAAGATCAATCTTAAAAACATTGTTTATTAATAATAGAGCCAGGAAACTCATTTTTTTTGTTATTAAAAATAAAGAGGGAAAATTCAATACGAAATATGAAGCTTTTCCTATCAATATATTTTACCTTTTTTCTATTTTTTATTGGAAAATGAGATAAAATTGTTTTTAAATCTCAATTTATTTTTTTTTATACCTGGTATTGAATGTTCTATTTGATTCTAATACAATTTTTATTTTTATAGTAGGTATTCTCATATTGCAAAAAGGTTTTTTGTTTGTAATTATATATGTTGATGTTTTATAATTAATTTTTATAAATGTTTGTTGGATGGAATATAAGATGTAACCTAATCTTATTATATATATTATGATTTCTAATCAAGCTTTGATATACAATGACAAATATATGCATTACTCAGAAAATATTAATATATATATTTATATTATAATATATTGTTTTGAAAATAGAGCAATCCATATTAAATTCATTAAATAATAAAAAGGCATATATTGGATTATATTATAATATTATATTTTAATTTAAATCTTTTATTAAATCCAATATATGCCTATTTATTATTTAATTATAATATATATATTCACGAATTATATTCAATCTAGGGTTAATATATATCCTTTTTAGTTTTTGTGTAAAATAATCGTCTGGAGCAAATTTATAAAAAGTATATAAATAAATTTTTAAAAAGTTTTTTTTTTGTTTTGCTTAGAATTTTTCCGATCATTATAATTTAAAACGTATAAGAAGATGAATTGTTTATATACATCTTATACTTTTTTTCTGTTTTTCTCTTGTGGAAGGGTAATAATGCTCGAAGGCTCAGCAGAATAATAATAAAAAAAACTTTAGAAGAAATCTTTCGCCTTATGATTTCGCGCTTTTTATAAAAAAGGTTTTTATTATCAACTAATATATGTTTTTAATAATTCCTAGAGCACGTGGTACAAGCCACGATAATAATAGTGGGTAGAAATGACGACTGCTTTAATTGTAAGTGTACCACATGTCTACAAATGTAAAAGGTAGTTTGGCTTTTGAACTTACAAGTGTACCAGATCCCTGTTTTGGTACTTGCACTCGATGGTAGGGTTGGTTTTTGCAAGAATCTAGGGCCATTGGACCATTTTTTAATTAGAAAATAAAATGCCCAATGCGGGATTCGATCCCGGGTACTAGCAGTCGAAAACCAACGATTTAGACCATTCGACCACCGACCTCCTATTTTTCATTCTAAAATAAACCAATAAAACACTTTCTATTATCCTAACTGGGATAAAAATTATGTAAGGGCTCGTTTCAACATCGGTGAACCCCACAATCCTTTTGTTAATTCGAACAAACATTGCTTAAACTGACGAAATCGCTGGGAGGGTTCTTTACTGATGAGCCAGGCTCTCCCAAAATCTTCTACCACAGTAAGAACCGTATAAAATATTTTATCTGGCGAATATTTTCATATTTTGAATATGCATGCACACACACAACACATATGCTTTACTAGCCGAATGACCCGGGCAACGCCCGTGTTTTACCCGATTGAATGTTTTGATTCAAATACTATTTGTTACAATTATAAATTGGCGCCTTAAATAAATGCATATTTTAGTTAATAACTATAGCCTATGTGCTTTATCTGTCTATGTACTGTTGGCTTCCGTAGGCGTCTCTTACAGGGAAAAAGAAAGAGGGGATTCAATTTGGTATTAACTAATTTATGCATTTATTTGAGGAGCGACCCTCTCCAACACAATAATTACATAAACGAAAAGGCGAGTGGGGGGGGGGGGGGGCATGATGGGGGGGGGGGGGGGGGGGGGCAAAGGTGGCGTGATCGTAGCCAACCAATAGGAGGGCGCCATTCCAAAAAAAAAAAGCAAATGGTGACAGAGACGAAAACTGACTGATGATTAAGAGATGAAGATGACGCTCGTAACTGCATATAGAATGTTTGAAATAGTATTTTTATGAGTATAATCATTTATTATTTGATATACTTCAATGTTTTCAATAAATATAATAAAGGAATATTTTATAGAATATTACTCATAAACTATTGGTATTTACATATTGGTTAAACTCTCAATTTAAAATGGGGTTTCTTTGAGTTGATATGTATTCACTGTATAGAAAGAGACTATTCAAAGTTTAGAGGATTATTTGGGTAGTTTGAAAATCTTTGTTAACTTTTCCAAACCTTTGTCTAAATCGCTTATGGAACTCAAATAGTCTCAAAATGCCATAAACCTCTATTGATAAAAACTTTCTTTTGTAGATACTTTTTTGTGTTTGTTTTGGACTTAACTTTTTAAAAGTTAAATAAAATCAATGCATATTTTCTGCTCTTAGAGAAACATATTTTAAAATCAGAGAATAGAGTAAATATTTTTTCGTTTTATCTAATTCACAGTTTTGTCATCTGATTTCTTAGTTGAAAAAGATTGAACCATATTTCGTGTTCGTTTATTTCATTTTATTGGTGGCTCTTTGATCATATTCTACTAATATCTAACTTCCTCCTTACAAAATGAATAATATTAAAATGTTGTAATCGGAAAAATATATCTATTTTTTTTATTCTGCACATATATCAGGCTAAATCAATTTTAGGTTGATTTCTGTTTCACCAGATGGCGCTCTGCCTTCTGTAAAGCACATGTGCTCCTGGTCAGGATATACCATTTTTATTTTTAATAAATTAATATTTGAAATAGACTTATTTTATGGGGCAAAATATTTTTTATTGCATGCACATCAACTTTGCGACAATCTTAACGCAGGATCAAATCCCGCATTAGCTTTTTTTTTCTGATGAGAATTGCTCAATGACCCTTATTTTTGCTGAACACAAACCTCAACTCACTGGTAGAAAATCAATTTGTTTATCTACCTGGTACTGAAGCTAGTCACTGGTACAAAAACAAATCATCTGTCTCGAATTACTTCAAAAATAAAAGAAATGGTACGCTATTGCCTGAAGAACTGATTTTAACTTAAAAGCTAACCAGATAAATATAATAAAAGTATATATTTTTTAAAATGTTGTCTGAATTGTTCAAATTTCGATTCAAATCTGTTTTGTGACGTATTTTTATTTGATAAAATAGTATGAAATATATGTTCAATGTATTTAAATTAGATAAATTTTGTATAGTATAGTATTGAGTATAGTAATATAAATAGTTAAATAGAACTAGTTATAAAGGTGACAGAGAGTTGGTGACTCACAGAGCACGGTGACATTGTGGGTTCCAGACACAGACAGACGACTGGAGATCCCCACAGCATAGCAGAAGAACACCTTCATCTTGGTTTCCTGCGACATAATTATATTATTGTAATGTTCAGCCTTTACTCTCTCTCTCTCTGGTCGCGGAGTCTTTCCTGCGATGGGCACCACCAATGAAGACCTTGTATATATTTCTGCTCTTAGAGAAACATATTTTAAAATTAGAGAATAAAGCAAATATATTTTTTTTCGTTTTATCTATTTCACAGTTTTTAGTCTGATTTCTTAGTTGAAAAGGATTGAACCATATTTCGTGTTCCTTTATTCAATTTTATTGGTGGCTTTGATTATATTCTACTAATATCTAACTTCCTCCTTACAAAATGAATAATATTAAAATGTTGTAATTGGAAATATATATATATTTTTTCCCACATATATCAGGCTAAATCAATTTTAGGTTGATTTCTGTTTTCCCAGAAACACCGCTAGACAACAGACAATAAATAATGTTGTAGATCTATATCAATTTGTAAATAGCAGAGAGAATTATCATAAGTTTAATTATTTTTGTAAATATATTGATGATTTTCTTTCAAACCTGAAAGGTTCAGGTTCATAATATATATATATTTTTTCTCTTTTTATTTCGATTACTTTTTTTTTTGTAAAAATTTTATAACTGTTTCTGTTTAAAAAATGTAAATCGACACAATTATTCCTAGCCGGGATATCGCGTTTGTGTGTTGGAATAAAAATCAATCAATCAATATATATTTATAAGAGTTTGTGTATATAAAAATGTAATGCCTCAATAGAAGTTGGCGCTCAGCCAACCGAAATATTGGCAATATACTATTTTATTCAATACAATTTTTCTTTTACTCTCTAATATATATGTAGAAGGAAGTGTTTAACAACTATACCGCAAATGTTTCTTTTGAACGAAAAATCGGAATTTATTTTAAAGAATAAACAAGGATTATTTCTAACCTTAGGTATGAAGTATGATATGATAGTATAATATGTCCCGGTTAGTCTAGTGGACATGGCATCTGCTCGGTAAGCGGAATACTGTAGGTTCGATTCTATTCCCTGGACACTTTATTTTTCATCTATCATTACTCTTCACAATTCATCCTATCAAATTTCACCCCTAAGGATAGAAACAATCGTTATTTCTCTATAAAATAAATTTCGATATTTCGTTCAAAAGAAATATTTGTGGTATAATTGTCAAACACTTCGTTCTACAATCATAAGCCGCATTATATTGTATTATATATATGTATACTAGCCGAATGACCCGGGCAACGCCCGTGTTTTACCCGATTGAATGGTTTGATTCAAATACTATTTGTTACAAATATAATTTGGCGCCTTAAATAAATGCATATGTTAGTTAATAACTATAGCCTATGTGCTTTATCTGTCTATGTACTGTTGGCTTCCGTAGGCGTCTCTTACTGGGGAAAAGAAAGAGAGGATTCCATTTGGTTATTAACTAATATATGCATTTATTTAAGGAGCGACCCGCTCCAACACAATAGTTACAAATATGGGGGGGGGGGGGGGGGGGGGGGGGGCAAAGGTGGCGTGATTGTAGTCGACCAATAGGAGGGCGCCATTCCAAAAAAAAAAAACCGTGACAGAGGCGACGAAGAATGACGCTTGTAACTGTATATAGAATTATCAATTATTTTATATTTATATATATTTATATTCGAATATTTATAATTATATAATGTTATTTATTCATTTTGATATTTATTTTGTATTTATATATATATATATATAACCTTATATAACCATATATGAACGATGTAATAAAGTAGTTTCAATCTAAATCTCTCTCTTTTTAAATGCCGTAATTACTTTCTATGTTAATATAAAATATCTTCTTTTGGTGAAAAAAATGTAATTTTATTATTATTCTCTCTAACTTAAGAGCAATTTAATTTTTTAACATCACATTCTTTTGAAAATGCTTCGTAAATTAGTATCTATTTAAGATATTCTAATATTTTTTTTAAAGTTAAAAGCCTCTATATACATAAAAGAGAAAGTCTCCAAGATATAAATATAATAAATTGATAAATTAATATTTAAAATACGAGTATGATGAAAAGGTGTGTGTGTGTGTGTGTGTGTGTGCATTCAAATCCACATCACAATTATATTTATCATCATTATAAATATTTTTTCACACTTGGTATCCTCATTTCAGGTTTGAAATTGCAAGTTTCTAAGCGAGAAAACCTCTTCATTATGCTAGATTATATAGGAAATAATTTACAAAGAGACTCTTCTTTCTAGGTATTTGCAAAGTTTTCAGTTATCTATTAAAGGCAGAAATTACAAATTAAATTATATAAACAGAGATTATTTAGAATATAAACAATTACAATTGGACTTTTGACCATTTTAATATTCCTTTTTATATAGGTATATTATATATATGGTATCTATATAAACCTAGGGCGAACACTGTCTATGTTAAAATATAAACAGTAATTTATTTGTGGCGCGATTTCAAAAATAAATATTTGAAAATAATATTAGAGAAATATATGAGAAATAAATAATATATTATTTTATTAATATATTATCTATGAATATAAGCAATATATAATGAATATAACAATGTTATAGCATAGACTTTAGCCTTTAATATATATAAATTAGAGGCTATTTGATATTGAACTATTTGTAACCTATAGTCAACATTTCCTGTTTGAACCTTGTCAAAGATGGGCATTATGCCAGTTTATATAGTGTTATTAAATAAACCTTAATTCAATCTAATGGTAGAAATTATGTTGAACTAGACTACGTGTCTATATATAATATAGAGGATAGTCAGGACGTACCTGTCTGGAGATAAGAACGGAGAGGTTAGAGATGACCTCCCAGCCGTTCTCGGGCGATCCCACGGCACCGGTCTCCGCATTCTCTGCCGCCACACCGTCTAATAGCCAGCCCACCTCGGCCGCGGGGTTACTGAGCCCCGAGCGGCACTGGACAGTCACCCGCTCCCCGCGTCGGGCTTCCAGCGGCCCGCTCAGCGTCACGTATCCGGGGGGAACTGCCGCCCATCTTTGTTTAACATTTCTGAATCTTGTATACCATAAATGTATCATACTAATATTTAAACAGATAGTCGATTAAATGATGTCACGAGAAGTAAATAATCTAGAATAGTAGATAGGGCCAATTCAAATTGAAATGGCGTTAAAATTAATATTTTTTTATGAACGATGTTGATAGAGCACATAGGGATGACTATGTTAACGCTGTTCTTGAAGGTAAGAGTATATTTTAGAATATAATAGTAGGAAAATTATTCAAAGATGGATCTCTTTGAGCATAGGTGTAGGAATCTTTAGGTAGACGAATTCTGGGAAATCAACCACTTCCAAAAAATCTCTATGAACTAAGATTTGTATTTTGAAGAAAATAATTTGATACTACATCTTTTTTTCAGAATCATATTCAAATAGGTGGTACAAATTTACCTTATATATAAAGTGATATCTTATTAGCATTCTTTGAATATGGCTACTTTCTTTATCCTAGTGTAAATAGGTTTATACGAAATGCAATATCTTGACAAAGGTTGGAGTTCAGCCAACCTAATATTTAATCCAACATATGCATTTCTATTATCTAAAGTTTTAACTACATAAATATATAGAACAATTATAAAGAAAACATTGTTTTGATATGGGCTCTGCTAAAAATGCACAGAACCTTTTTGTTACCTTATATCTTAATGTATACATATATATAATTTATTGATTGAATGATTTATATATTATTGGGTCTATGAACTTATCCTATAGAAAACTATGTTTTTAGACGAGACATTTATTGTTAAAGTTATATGTTAACTCAAATATAATTTAAACCAATTTGTTATAAAAGTATTTGTCAAATTTAATTCAGTTATCTTCTAACTTGGAACGAATCCATTAAGTAAGTCTTGGCAAATACGAATATAAAATATAATTTGTGAAAGGTCTTCAATTCGGTTCATGAATTAGGATTCTTATTTGATTTGATCGCAGATTTCTGTATATATATCATAGAATTGCTTTAAAGTGAATAGTTTGACATGTGTGTGAAAAGCAGAAATTCTAACAATCTGTATTCATAAATATTAACTATATAATTGTTTTAAAGCGGTAGAAGACCGTTGTTTTTGCGGACATAGGAATAAACCTCAATACATCTTTTACTAGATTGTCCTGTTGTTCAAAACTATAGAATCGATAATTTTTTAATAGTAACAGATCCAAGTATTTTATTTCCAGTAAAGAAATATATTAAATTCAATACCTTTTGTATATATATTTTAAATTATATAGCAACAAATATATTTTAAGAAACTGATAATTTATATTATGCTGATTGTACATATTGCAAGACATTTCTTTCTTTTGTACACAGTTCTCTGTTCTCGTTTTTTCTCTCTTTCTCATTGTTAATATCATATGACTATTCTATTCACGGCCTAAAGTTATTGTATATATATGTATGTATAGACAAATGTAAAGGCATACAGGTATGACAGCGCAAGTGTTTCTAGGGGGACATAGCACTTTAAATTGAAATAAAATAATAAAAAATAGAATAATTGTTTTCAAACAAGAAATTCCAAACCATATTGCAATGAATAGAATATTGAGAAGGCCGAGATTATCTGTAGTTAAACTATTTCAAGGGTTTAAACTATTTTCTCACTGATACTCAAACAATTTCTGACTACCCTTATTGCAATAATACCAACAAAAAGAAATTATATTTAAATTTATAATCAAAACAGCGAAATAAAACATTAGAGTGGTAGAAAGAATTGTTCTCCCACCTCTGATGAGCCAGGCCATTCCAATTACAATAAATCGAAGTCTCCGAGGATAAGTCTCTTATTTTATTAAACGTTCTTTCAAGCTTTCGATACTGTAAACTCTTCTACAGGAGCCTACAACGAAATGAATCTCAATTTTCAAACTACTATTTATATTTCTTGAAAATAAAGATACTACGATATTTACGATACTATTTATATCTCATCATTATTCACATATCTCAAAAGTGCTAAGAAATCTATTTAGTATTGTATTTGTTTATGGTGTAATATAATTAAAATTTATTTTTTCTTTCTAAATATAGATTTAATTTTTTTTCGGAAATAGAGCAATCTATAAATAAATATTTGATTAAAATGGCATATATTGGTGAAATAAATAATAATTTGATCCAATATATGCGTTTTTAATTGAAGATTTAATAATGTAAAATGGTTTCTTCATTTTTTGAAAGAATAAACATTCTGGCTGAAACGTTTCATGTTTATGTACTGTTTTTATGTGTTATTTACTATGTGAAAAATAATTGAAATTAGGAAACTTATTGATTTATCAAGAGATCTCTATAACTAAATATATTTGATCGTAGAGATACAGCCTAGACCACACTGACGAGGATCAACAGCCTGAAACGCGTTCGTGGTGGTTGGATTTATTTTGATTTATCAAAGAAATGGATTGGTCAAATAACGGGGAACATGTTAAATTAACGTCAATTGGATTTCTGTTCCACTAGATGACGCTCTGCCATCTAAAATCTCAGGTAAACGGTCAGGAAATGCCTATATTTTAATTAAATATATATGTAATATTGTTGCAATGTGCCGACGTATGGATGAACTGACAGTCGTGTACGTGAGGCGAGTGTTGATTATCTTCCCACACGCGGACAACAATAAGCAAAGGCAGGGCTAGATGTTAGCACCAAGAGTGATCGGGGACAGCCCACGGGACAGAGGTAGAGGCCATGACACAAACTTGGATGCTTATCCCCGAGACATAGAGGGAGAGAGTGTGTGAGACAGGCTGAAGCGGACTGCCGAGAAACACCCCCTAGAACATCTGCCGACCCCCTGCCAAAACTTATCCTGTTTACAGGGAGGTCGTCAATAAGAATGTCCCTCAGGACCGGCCCCACATGGGAGTTGGCATTTTTCTCCCCTCTGTCCCTGCCAACAGCTGACCGCTCTCTCTTTGGATCTTTATTTTGACGTCACCAATTTTAGTTTATATA